CATGCACAGATATATGTCTCAAAATCGTATCAGTATTATGTGCCAGAAAAAACCGATACACAGAAGGATCATAGATAAGTAAGTGTGCAGTTAACAAAACACTTCAAAATCACAATACTTCGTGTATCAAACCCAACCATGCGGGAGCTATATCCACGAACCATATTAACTAAAAATCCCACGTCTTCATGTTTGTGGGCATCGGTCAATCAAACTCAAAAAACCCCATAATGAATATATAAATATGTGATGCTCTGTGGAAAGTAAAACTTCAATACGACACACGCCTGATCGCCGTAAACACAAATTTTGGCGACGCAGACTACGATTGAATACCCGCACGTGGTATAGTGGAATGTTGCAAATCCCACATCGCGCAAGTTAGTTACATACCTGTGCCAAAGAGTGCTCGGTAGCATATGGTCTTCCACAATTCGTATACTTGCATATATGTGGCCGCTCTATGTCATCAAACTTTCTTCGTTTCTTCTTCTTCTTTTCCCCTGGTCCAGTCTCCTCATCTCCCACTGTAGAATCTGCGTTTTCTAGCGCGTGGTCTTCATTGTCCGTATGCATAGAATCGTCAGAATGTGAATCTTTCTCCTTTTTTGATAGCTGTAGGTTTTCGGTTGTTAATTGTTGGTCTTCTGACTCGTCCTTTGCGACAACTAATGCCGCGGTTCCAGGCTGTACCTCGGATTCGGCCATGATCATAACATGCGATATATGCCTTATTATGACGCGTTAAATTCTGCGAATTATATTCTATAGGTCTGTTTATACAACCTAATGCCAACAGGCAACCCTCAAACGCGGGCTATTGCAATCTAGCGATACATCTGGGCGCTGATACTTTGGTAGCTGTATATATCGGCGTCCTGCCTTGCAATTCTGTCTCAAGGGTAGCAGACGAAAGGTGTGTATATATCACACATATACCAGCGCATGCCACGAAGAAGGATGCGGTATGTGAATCGAACAGTCCACGCTCTTAAGTAAAAAAGAGCACGATACGGAAATAGCACAACAATATGGGGGCTCTCGCAGTCACACTTTAACTGTCTGGCCCGGCGTATGGTATTTTCTCAATTTTTTTTATTGATATTTATTACATAGACAGCCGATACACTCACAAACTTGCATAGCCTGTACCTATTGTCCTCTATACTCTTTATAAGTGGGATGTATAAAAAATATAAAAATATGATACAAAATTCAAAAATCAAAGTACAAAAATACAAAACGGAACCGAAAATATTTTTATAAAAGCCAAGTGACATCTTCCCGGGCTTCGGATTACATTGGATAAAGTATCATTTATTACCGAGTGCGTGATTGCTGAATTTCACCGGATCTCGATTCTCTCTCGCATAAAAACTCATATCCTCCTAAAAATCGAACAGGTTTTTAGGCTATGAAAAACTGAATTATATCAGGGGAGGGGTATGAAAGACGAGGTCAAGCAGGCATTACTACTATATACTCATACTGTCTCAGAGTAGAGAGGGCACCAGGGCCCAGGGCCCCAGGCCCATCATCTATAGTCACACGACTCGTCTCACTTCACAAGTTCACAGGCCGGTCAGGCCCAGAGGGGGCTCAGCACTGTCAAGTGTCAGAGTCCTCAGGCCTCTGGGCGGGCTTAGGCTCAAATCTTCTATGATTTTTAAAATAATTCAACAACAAAACAAAAAGTAAATTAAAAAAACACAGCCTTGGCCCTTGAGGGCGGCCTTGAGCCTTCTATTTTTATTAAAATATATATACGAGTCAAAATTGAAATAAAAAAAATCCCTCAAAACTCAAAAAGTCAAACAAACCCCACTTTTTGGAGAAATCTTGAAACCACCATGATTTTATCACTGAAAGCGTTAAAAAGCTTTTCGTCCCTCAAAAAAAAGCAAAAGCTGCCCAATTGTAAATAACGCTTTTTGCCTATTTAGTTAAAGTTCCGCTTAAATTTCCCAATTTTAGAAATTATATAAATACCCTAACCTTGAGTCGCTCACTTCCCACCAGAGTATGTATTTACCCAGTACCCACTCCTGTTTTCAAATTATTTTTGTTAAAAAACAAAAAACGAACAAGAGACCTAAGAACATGAATAAATATAAACCCAGTCCCCACGACTTCCCGGCCGTAATATTTAAAAATAGACCATTTGTGGATTTTGTATTATTCTGTTTTTGTGTTTGAATTGGTCGTAAACACTTCTACAAAACGTGACAATTTGTAAAAAATCTGTCTGTATTTTAATATTTATATTTTAGCTGTCTGATTTTTCTTAAAGAATTACGACTCGTTTTTCAAGTATGTTTGTAAATATCAATTGTTTTCAAAATATCACGTCGTTTGTAAAATTGTTGATTTTTGAAATGTGCCTGTATCAGTAAGAATTTATTTACTATATGTAAATAGGTTGTCGTAGGCCCCTGAGGCCTGAGTCTGAGGGCCCTGACCCCTGCTGTGGTGATAAATGTAGTAAATAATGTACCGAATATGTAGAAGCGAAACGAAAACGCATACGAAAACGCATATTTATTCAATTTAAAAACCTTTTAACGTTTTTACAGATCTAAAACAGCTATTTGTTTTTTTTAACGAATCTCAATTTTGCTGTCCTTTTTCTGAAGAAGCCGAAGGCTATAAATTTATTTTACATATAAATAAAATAAAATGATTTTGCACTTGAGAGTTGAGGTCAACTTCAAGAGTTGAGGTTTAAATATCAGTTGACACCTGGTCTGATGGTCATCGTATGATTATTGATTCCGTATGGGGTCTCGCAATAGGCTTAAGTTTTGCCTAGGGGGCATCCAAATTTGAAATTCTTAAGGAGGGAAAGGGAAAGTGGCTGTGGTCACAGGCTCGCAGCCTCGCAGGCCGCAGGTCGACCGGTCTTTGGTGCCTACATTGCCGGGTGCAGGGAACGAATGTAACAACAATAATAAGAATTTATAATCATGGCTTTACACCCATATTTGTGGGGTTTTTATTTTTCCACCGTTCTCAGATTTTTCGATTAAGTATACAAGGAAAAAGAGTTTATGACGTGCAGGTATGGTATACTGTGTATTCTTTCATATATCATACCGTTTGTGTAAATTGTAGTCAATCCCTGTTTCACTAGCATATATTAATTGTATGCACTCACAAACTCACTGAACAACATGAACTGAAAGCTTTTTGAATTGTGCAATGAACCGTTGCCGTTGGATGCAAAATGAAGAATTGTGCAATGGACCGTTGGTTGTGAAATAAGAGAACACAAAGGGAGGCCGTTGGATGTAAAATCAGAGAATGAAAGGCCGTTCCGTTGAATGTGAAAATAGATAATGGAGGGCAATTGGATGTGTAAACTTCGA